CGCTCATGTTGGTCATTGAGAATTTCTGGGGTTCCTATGAGAAGATGACTTGTAGGTGGTACTTGGATGCTTTGGTTGGATTAGGGGTGGTACTTGGTCCAAAACGTTTGAGAACCACTGCTCTAGCTCATTTCTGGACACTCCACTCAAAACTCTTTATCGATAATGGGGACTCCCCTCCACCACCACCAATGTGCAGCTCCTGGATAATGCAACAGCAGCCATAGTGCACCAGTACGCTCACCACACCAGCTATCAGTGGGGATGAGCAGAGAGTGATGAAACCAATTCATAGAGGGAATTACTAGGAGGCCATGATTGATAAAGGCCAAAGGGAAATTTGGCTGGGACACTAGAGTTACACACCTACTCTTTTTGAGAAACACCCTGGGATTTGTAATGAACAGAGAGTCAGGACCTCTGTTTTACGTCTCATTCGAAGGACGGCACCTTTTTACAGTATAGCGTCCCTGTCACTATACTGGGGCATTAGGACCCACACAGACCACATGGTGACTGCCGTCTACTGGTCCCACTAACATCTGTACTGCCTCCAGCAACAACCTTAGTTTTCCCAGGAGGTCACCCATCCAGGTACTGACCAGGCTCACACCTGCGTAGTTTCAGTGGGTTGCCAGTTGTGAGTTGCAGGGTGATATAGCTGCTGGCTACAGAATTATAAAATTGCAAGTATTTATTAGTATGTATTACTTCAGTGGCATATTAGTAAAAATAAGTGCTGAGATAACAGAAATATAGGTACCCTTGGCATGGACCATATGTTCTAACAAATGAAAATAAGAACTATTTGGAAGAAGGAGCTTTAGCTCTTCCCAAATGCCACAATCTCGGAAATCAACATTTTAAAGGTTGGCCAGCCTGGCATCAAGCAACACAGCTGGGAAGCCCACTCAACAATACTGTATTTGTATTACATTAGTATACTGTTATTCTGAAAAGAAAATATTGACCTGCTTTAGAAATGCATCATAGATTCTGAGATGTTCTAAAGCATCATAAATCCTATTGGAAGAGGGTATTTCTTTAATGATCAAATTAAGGAATATACAGCTTATCTGTTCATAGAATAACAGTCATTACTCCAAAATACTTCATTCCTACAGACCTGTCTGAGTCTGTGCATCCTATGACCATCTTCCAAGTACACTGTACAAAACTGAAGTCACAAGCCAGGGAATGACCTTTCACAAAGGTCTAAATATCTATACTTACTTACTCTCTGTGAAAATAGAAATACTAGAGGAAATATAGAATATAGAGGAATATAGAAATACCACAAGGAAGTTACAATTGTTTGGAACTGTGATCATTGTATTGAAAAATATAAGTATGTGGCACCAAAAAGCATTTACATTTTCAACTGAATCTGTCAGCAAAACTATAATTACTGAAAGTTTAGAGCCTAAATACAGGGAGAAGCATTTGATAAAAAGTTTACCTCAATTCCAGAGGAGGTTCTTCCACTCACAGACTTGAAGTCACACACAACAAAGGCCACCAGGTAAGTGCTCATCCTGACACTCACTTCAAAGTGGTCCTCAAAGAGTCCACCTTCCAAAACAACTGTCCGTTCCTAGCAAAACATAAACATTAATTCATTCTCAGGCTCACTGTACTGTACCGGGCACTAAATAAGATTTCATTCGAACACAGACAAGTCTCATTCATATTTTTATTTGATAGTGCTTCTAAAACCACAGCATGTCAAATGTTCTACTGAAAGACATGCTGCTTTCAGTATGGTAAAACATTTCAACATAGTCTAAAGAAATCTCAGAAGCAACAAGTGGGTCTAATGGCAAAAATGTTTAATATTCCAAGTTCTCTCCTTCTTAAAGAGCCTATTTAATTTAAATTATATGACTGTGGTACAATTATGATTATAACAATCATTTAGAGATTTTTTTATGCTTGATGCAATAGTTTTTAATATCTAGTATATTCATTATTCATTGGCTGTACATACAATAGGCATATTAGACAGCGCGATGTGTGAATCATCCCTTCTTATTTTAATGGAGTAGTTGGCCTTAAAATGTGGCTCATCAAAGCAGGGGAAAGCCATTCTTGCAGATGTAGGTTCGAAATGAGTTGATGCCAGCGTTCTAAACAACGGAGACAGAAAAAAGTACTCATGTTAGCACATGACAAAATTTTGATTAATAAAATGACAACTACCCATTGCATAAAAAGAACAGAACAGTTAGAACAGTTAGAATATAAGATCCTACAAACATCAACTCCAAAAAGACACAAATAATCAATATTATAGTATTCTTCTCCAAAGGTATTAAATAGGAAATAAAATACATCTGTACCAGGTTTTAAAAAAGTAACACTATTTTACATTTAGTACAAAAAGCAATTTAGGCATCCGGTTAAGTTTTACATTTACAGTAATATCAAAAGTATAATTGAAGAACACGTACTGTACCTTGTTTCACCATTTTTTGTTTGGTAAGTACTCCTGTAGAACCCATAAAAACCATCCGACAAATTGGCTTTGTATTCAATGTGAACAAAGTACTTTTCCCCAGTGAGCAGAGGTTTAGGCGAGAGGACAGCAATCTGTTCATGGGGCAGGTTCTCTAGCACCTGCAGTGGCCTGTGTGACAGAAAGTGACCGAACTCATCCTGAATGGTAGCCACGGTAATCTGGAGATTCTTACTGTGCAGGACAACCGAGGTGATGTTATGTTTGACATCAATCTCGATCTTCACCGATCCAGTGAAAGTCAGGGATGTCAGGTTGGGATGGATGAGCAGGTGGTAGTGGACAGGTATGACGTGGTCTGGAAGCCGGATTCTGTTCCATGGAAACTGAAGACCGTTTATATCCACACGAGGCTGCTCGCTGACAGAGCCGTTACCCTCGTGCGTCTTACTTGTGGCAGTAGAAGAATGTGATAAAAATGCCAAAATGAATAAAACTATCATTGTGGTGATGTGCTATAAAACAACTGTCAATGAACAGATGTATTGGTGTTGATGTAAAGGTTAGAGACTATCGGCATGTGGGGGTTAATGTTAATGTATAATGAGCAGCAACATACTTTAACGTGTAGAAGTTAAACCTGTAAGAAAATAAATTATTTTTTAAATATGCATGCAGAAATTCTTTGCCAGCAAATGAAATTATACAGTAGATATGTAATACAAGTTCCACGACTGGATGACGAATTTCTTCTGTAGGTGGGCAGAAAACTTGAATTTTTAGGGAGAAAAAGACTCAACAATGTTGAGGAAATTAAAAAAAAACTATTACAGTTACAAGGTCCTTAATAATTAAGAAGTAGGGGGATTAAAAAAAGTTAGTTCAGCATCTATGGCATACAGTATATGGAAATGGCGTTAACGCGTATTTAAGCGGATTATGATCAAGATACGTAACAGGTGCACCATACTCGCCACTATTATCGCAACTTTTTTAACCTTCCTATAGATACACGCCAATGAATAAATTGAAGAATCTGGATCAAGTGAATACACGATTACTGTTAACTGTATTTTAAAAAAGAATGTCGGACATACCATATGCAAAGTAACACATTACCTTATTACCTTATTCTTATTAATTTGTCCCTTACTACAATGGATTTATTTTTAACGAACAAAGCGCGCATAATTGTAAGCTTTACTGGACTCATAAAATAGTATATATTCCTAATGCTAGCAATGTGCATCTACGTTCCATTCATTTCTACAGTTTAAGTTGTATGGGTTATGAACTTTTTCATATGTTGGTCCAGCTGTGCTTTGCTTTAGATTTATAAGATGCATAGTACTAACACTGTGCATTAAACACCCAAGCTTTTAGTAACATAATGCAAAACAGTAATTTCAATTCGTAACGAAAGTGTTAGCAAATTTACCTGCATTTCAGCTACATCACTCAGGCCCAGACATCTACTGAAGCACTGAGCTTTCATTTTCACTTTCCCTTATTGGACCCACAATCCCCTTCCTGCTGCTAGTGGATTTCAGAAGCACGTGATATATCACAAAAGAACCGTAATCGCCAATTTAAATGCGCAGTGCTCCACACTACGTTATTTCCTTGCTACTTAAAAACAATGCTGTATCTTTATGACATTTCTAGTCACATATTAAACCTGTACCACAAATAAATAAGAAATGAAACTTGAAGATCTTCGTCAGAAATCGTTAAACAACTCTGGTTCATAAGAGCCCCTTAAACAGTAGGGTTTATAGGTAGCCTTTAAATCATTAATTTCTAACGCAGGGCACACACAGACATACTCATAAAGGACAATTTGATAGACGATTAACCTGCCAGCTCGTCTTTGGAGTGTGGGAGAAAACCCACGCAAACGTGGGGAGAACTCACAAACTCCATACGCCAGGAATTTAACCTATGGCAGTGCTAGCATTAGGTAGCAATGCCAACCACAGTGCCAAACAATTTAAAGATAATTTGGAACAGAAATCATTCTTCAAGGACCAGTGTGCCCCTTCATTTAAAAATTACTTGCTTAAGTGAACAATTACATTCACAAGTGTTCCTGATCTTTAAACAACAGGTGGTTTAGGGTTACCTATAAGAATAACTGGATTAAGGATCTCAGGGAAAAGGGCTGGTGACCACTGCACCATAAAATCAAATTAAAGCGTGCATTTAGTAAAATATGCTTCAGAAAGGTTTTCATGCTTGAAATTACTTTTAAAAAATCCTTAAGGCAGTAAAGCAATATTGTTTATATTGTGCCATCCCACATTTTTTATCACATTATATTTATATCATATACTTACAATTTGTTATAAGAAACTTTTAATTTGGGAGAGAAATTCTTATGTATATTCAAGTGATAATACAGTATTTACAGTATATAATCCATATTGTCATAATATTGATTTTTTTTACTTATTTATAATATATATGTCTCTGGCTCCCCATGATACTGCATTATATAAAGCGGTTAGAAAATGGATAGATCTATATATGTGCAATTGTATCCAGTGTTCTGAATAAATGATGAATGAAAGTTCCATTAACAAATATAAGTAAACAATAATTATTAACTTAATAATAACTGTCCTTCGGATGAGACGAAAAACCGAGGTCCTGACTCTCTGTGGTCATTAAAAATCCCAGGGCGTTTCTCAAAAAAAGTAGAGGTGTAACCCCGGCGTCCTGGCCAAAGTTCCCATTGGCCCTTACCAATCATGGCCTCCTAATAATCCCTATCTATGAACTGGCTTCATTACTCTGCTCTCCTCCCCACTAATAGCTGGAGCGTTCTGGCACACTACGGCTGCCGTCGCATCATCCAGGTGGATGCTGCACATTGGTGGTGGTGGAAGGGAGTCCCCATTACCTGTAAAGTGCTTTGAGTGGAGTGTCCAGAAAAGCGCTTTATAAGTGTAAGCAATTATTATCATTATTATTATCAATTATTGGTACATACATTATTCAGTTAGAGTAAGTACCAACATGCTCTTAAATGAGTTAAATGTAACATATGAAATTTTATATAAGTATTTTTTTGCTTAGTGCACAAAATATTGTAGCTGATCTATAATATATGAGTCTCAGTTTCTTGCAATTTAGAATTTAATTAACTGTACTCACAAAGTATTCACTGAAAAATAAAATGTCATCTTGAAAGGCCTGGGGAGTGTGGAATGGAAATCAATTGTTTCTAGTGGTGTCTGCTCAAAAACACACTGATACACGTCTTCATGTGATAATGTATAGAGCCTAGAGAATACTCTGATTGAAAGGCAGTATGTAAGAATAAAATTGATTGATTGATTGATTGATTGAATATCACACAGAAATGCGGAGTATGCCGCTGATCAGAAATGAACATACAGAGACATGCCGGTGATATAAAGGAAATTTTTACAATGAGTAATGTCTTAGCACACTTCAAAAACAACCCTTGTTCCCAGACCAAGATGTCCTTGGCATGGTTTTCTCTATTTTCCATTTTTTAGTAATTTAGCAATGGACATGGAGTGACCATGGGGGTGAAGGACAAATGTTATTGTTAAGAACTTACAAACATCGCACAAAAATTAAACATATGTCGAACTGTAAAGATCCTGAAATGTTAATGGTTTCTAACTGACAAATTGAGCCTGTTTTGCAAATATTTCAACACCACAAATGTGGCACAGTTGTCTACAATGGTCAAAAGTGCAGAACACAACTAATTCAGATCCTACCTAGTAGACTTAATTTGTTATCTTTTTGGCAAATAATACCTTTCCCGTCAGTGACAATGTGGAAAGATATTGTAGTAATCACTAAATCCGGGTTACTAATGTTATTTTACTGGAATCTGTAGTGTTTCCTTTTGCAAACATTGCATCACAGCTGGAACAAGTGGTAATCAGTAACTCACAGGAAAAGTCCACACTAATGTGTCAAGCGTTTTGTAAATGTTGATACTATGCTTTCCAATATTTGCAATACTAGGCTTTGATTTTGTATATATTGGTGTGTTCCACAGTCAAATCACCACTTCTGTACTAGAATCACCACATCTGTGCTGAATTGCTGAAAATGCTGAAGGTACTGCTTTTCCTGACTCTCTGTGGTCTCATCATGGAGCCTGTTACAGGTAAGCAAAAGGGAACCTAGAACTCAATCCTATTTCCTTATTATACAAGAAGTATTAATGTGGTTCTACACATCAGATATTTGATTATTAGAAACTGGTACCAAGACATTATATTTCTTTGCGTTCATTTGTGGAAATACTGATATTGTTTTCTTTTTTTCGCTTTTATTTTTGATATATAAGTAATAAATGCTGGTGACATGACAGGTATTTCTTTTTGTTATAGAGAAGGTGAAATAAGTTGAAATAATTTATTCTCCTTGCTTGAAATACTGTGGGAAATCTAAAACAGTTTTTAACATAAATAACAAAAGTAACCACATTTCAGGCAAGCATGAAGACTTTGCTATTTATAATGGAGAATTGTTAATACTATATTCTCTTTTAAATACAATTATTGCATTTATTTTGTTTAAAATATTCAACATATAAATATACTTGACATTGTGAAATAAAACTTTTCTTGAGAGTGCAGTGAAATAGTGTCACATACCCAAATTAAAGAGTTCAAAAAGCAAAGGATGAGATATGTCATAATGCTTGTAATACTAATATTATCATACAATTTACAAGAATCACTCTTACTTTCGATGTGCTATGTGTCATTTCATGGCACTTTCAAAATGCAGAATTCCATATCTTGTTACATGAAAATATTCACTCTTTCACTCAATTTTAAAATCGATGCAAACTAAACCATGTCATGCTAAAACTAAGCTATGGCCAAATAATCTACTTTCTGAAGTAGTTTTCCATCATGATTATTTTAAAAAAGGAGCTGTTACAGTTTTAAAAGTTGTCTTGTACAAATTCTGCACATCCATTAACAATGTATTTAATTTGTAAAACCAAAGCTGCATCAGAAAATTATTTTGATGGGCTGAAAAATATCCCATTCTTTTTTTTATATCAAAGTCTATCTTCAAATGCATACACTCCAGAGTGCTATTAGATAATATCTCCATTTCCTGGGTGGTTGAAGGCACATTGAAGGCTAAACCTCAGTGCGCACAAGGTGTGGTGGCATTTTACTATTGTGACCTTCTCTGGTTTTAGGCATAATACGTGACACCTTCCAATGCAAGGCAGACCGGGGAGACTGCCGGCGTTCAGGATCCTGCTTTACATATGAAAAGTGGATAGGAACCTGCAACAATGGACTCTGGGCCTGCTGTAAACAAAAATGAAAAACATCATAGAACAACCAGATTCTCATGTGCCTTCATTAACACTGAACCAAACACAAGTTCAACCTGTTGGTTTTCTTGCTTTGAGAATTGACATGACTTGTATTTAACAAGACATGCCTGTTGTATTCTGTGTTAATAAATGCTTTCATTGAAATGCCTTTTTTGTTGTCTTGTTTCTTTGTCTTGTAGAAAATATTTAGTATTCAAACCAGAGTTCTTTAAATAGGAAAAAGAGGGCTTTCCAGGCAGGTGACAAGGAGGAGCTGAAGCGAGCACAGAAAGAGCTGAAGGCGTGAGTTAGGGAGAGCAAGGTGGCTTATGGGAGGAAAATGGAGGACAGGCTGGGGCAGAGCAATGTGAGAGAAGTGTGGAATGGCATGAGGAAGATCTCCGGATACTAGTTGTCTGGCGGCCAACAGAGTGAGGGAGGCCTGGAGAGGGCCAATGAGCTGAATCTTTTCTTTAACAGATTCGATACAGGGTCCACTGTCCATTCACCTCACAGGCCTTCACCCCAGACACCCTCTTCATGTCCTCAGTCACCCCATCATGTGATCCCGCCTACTCCTACTCCATCTTCCCCTGCCCTAATCAACCTGACCAGGTCAGAAGGGAGTTGAGGAGACTCCACGCAGGGAAGGCAACGGGTCCTTATGGTGTCAGCTCCAGGGTGCTAAAGATCTGTGCGGACCAACTGGGTTCAGTGCTACAGTACATCTTCAACCTCAGCCTGAGATTAGAAAAGGTTCCGATGCTCTTGAAGACATCTTGCCTGGTGCCAGTACCCAAAAAGGGGCACCCTAAAGTCTTGAATGACTACAGACCAGTGGCACATCACATCGAATGAAAACTCTGGAAAGGCTTGTACTTGACCACCTCAGAGCCCTGGTGAGTACAGTACTGGACCCCCTGCAGTTCGCCTACCGGTCACACCTGGGAGTGGAGGATGCAGTCATCTATCTGCTACACAGAGCTAACTCTCACCTGGAGAAGACGGGGAGCATTTTGAGAGTTATGTTCTTTGACTTCTCCAGAGCCTTTAACACCATCCATCCACCTTTACTGAGAGATAAGCTAAGGGCGGCGCAAGTGGACACTCCCCTGCTGTCCTGGATTATAGACTATCTGACCTGCAGGCCACAGTATGTACGGCTACAGAGCTGTGTGTCTGAACAGATTGTTAGCAGTACTGGGGCTCCACAGGGGACTGTCCTTGCTCCATTCCTGTTCACCTTTTACACCTCTGACTTCAGGTACAACTCTGAGATGTGTCATCTGCAGAAGGTTTCGGATGACTCTGCAATTGTGGGGTGTATTAGAGAGGGGAGGGAGGAGGAATATAGGAGCTTTATGTATTTATTTATTTTTATTTATTTGTTGTTTTTTGTTTTATAACTATTCTGATGTCTGTTTTGCTTGTCTTGGGCTAGACTGCTGTAACACATCAATTTTCCTTACGGGATTAATAAAGTATTATCTATCTATCTTATACTGTAGGGAATTTGCCAGGAAATGTAGGTGTGGCCTCAGTTTCTGGGAATACTTTTCTCAGACAGAATCCCAAAATGGTGTGATTCTCTGTCTCTTTCTTCTCCAGTTCGTTGTTTACAGTGAGAGGGTGTCATAGAAAAATAAGCTAAGATAGCAGCTGATTTTTTCATTGCAGTTTTGAGAAAGCAAGGTTCATGAGTACCAGGTTACAAGTGGAATGACTTTCTTTTCAAAAATCCACACTTACACAGGCTTTACATTTGAGTAAAAAGAAGACTTTGAAATGAAAATGACGTTTTAAATCCATATACACTAATATATACATATACACTAATTTTCATATAAATTATTCAATTTCACATACTGTAAATTATTTGGTTCTTTTGAAGATGTTCAGTTGTAAAGAGCAGGTGTGATGGGCTGTATGTTCTTGTGAAACTTGTGGGAAATGAAAAAGTACAAGACAGTGTTTACCTTTGATCAAATGGGTGATACCAAGTCTCTAACCTCAAAGAAGAATTGTGCTTAACAAAGCTAAACAGATGTATCTCTTAGTTAGCATAACACTTAGAAAAGACAAGTACCACATAATATCTTTAAATTATGTTGACAAGAAAAAACTAGTTACGCGATATATACATGTGTTAAATACATCAAATGTCTGTTCCAAAAACAGAAATCAATGGGGATTTAAACAGAAGCATACTTTCTTATCTACTTCAGAAAGGTATCATTATGTTGGTGTTCAAAGAGTTGTGTTGACCTTAACAGTCATGTTGTTCCAACATCTACTCTTTTAAAATTGGAATTTTCTGCCTACTCTAAAATTGAACAACCCTCTGTCAGTATTATCTCTAAAGCTAATTGACATGTAGTTCTGCCACCACTGAACTTCTGAAGTCTAAAAAAGCAATTTAGACAGTGAGCTGCACTTGAGCATGCTCCAGGCAATATCTATGGGATTTCAGTAAGGGTCAGTTCTCAAATATAGCCTCAGAGGCTTGTTTTTTTTTCCTTATCTCGATTACTTCTTATTTAACACTTACAGTAAATGGGGGCTGTTGTTTCTCAACTAGAATCAACTTTGTAGTTCCCAGCAAAAATAGCACTATTTTGAAAGTTTGGGACAATGTGTGATGTTTTTTGTGTATTTACATAGCTCTCCCCGGACAATGAGGAAAGTAAACATTGAGGAAAACACATTTGAACAAAGGGCTTTGCTAATAATTAACTCAAGTTAAATGAAGTCACTGTTAGATCATTAATTCCACCTTATCAAATATAGAGTAACCAGAATATACTTACTTATGCCAGCCTTGAGATGAACCATGGCATAAATTCAGAAACAGACATATAGACAAAAAAGGAAGAAATATAAGAGGAAGCAAGGACATCAGTATCATTCATCATCATTATTCAGCATCCTCAACTTCATCAAATGCTGTGAGCGTGTACCTCTTTCCAATCATGCATGAAATCAGATTCTGTCCAGGAAATCCAAATGCTGAAAGAGTACCAGAGTGTCATCTTTATTGTATAAAAAATTCTAAATTGCTTTATTGTGGAATTTGCAGTCTAAAAATAAATCTCCAATTTAAGTGATGCATTGTGTGAATAGGGAAGTTGGTTCTCATTCAATTGTGATCAACTGTATAGATGTGAAGGTTTAGTTCTGATTAGGATCTATTTAGTTTATTAAGATGCAGGGTTTTGCTCTTTCACCTATTAAAGTGTTTTGTATATTATGTTTATTTTGTATATACTGTATTAGAATCTTTAGAAAGTTGGGTTCTAGAACTCACAGACCTGTGAGTGTCTATAATGTTTATAGTGTAACTATAGGGGTTTATATTAGCAGAGTGTTCTCAAACTTAATACAGTTAACACAATTGTGAGTGGATAACCTTCCTAACGTATTTAATTTTCACTTGAGAATTATCCATTTACAGTACTGGATGTGCTCCATTTGAACACATAGTGGTTAGTTCAGATCATTCCTGATCCTTAGTTGTAATAAATAGGCCACATCAGCACTGCAAATTGTTGTTACTATTTACCTAAGAGGTTTTGTTTCCAGCCAGGGAGAAAGCAGTTGTAGACTAGTTAACACATATTTTAACAAATTATGCTTCTTTTCTTCAGATGTTCAGAGTGCTGTTGATGAAACTGTTAAAAGTGTCTTTTGAAGTTTTTCTTTCTCCCATTATAAAAACCTTTCTTTTCTTGGCAGATTGCCATCAGATTAAGTTGCTTTCCAGCAAGTGAGTATAATGTCACCTGACCCTGACTTCATAAGCACTCACAACACAGTGACCTCATTAAAACTGCACAGTACAGCAGGATGCTGCTTAGCATCCTTATCATAGAGCTCATGGCAAGTAAGTAGCAATATTATTTGTACTAACATATTTCATAGCTTTTAAAGCAAAAACATGACGTGTTTTATCTTAATTAATTAAAAAACATGACAACTTAAATCTCATTTCACATTCACCACGTTTGAGTCATGTATTATATGCAAATGGAGAAAGTGTGATGCTTTAATATGGATTATGCATGTTTCATGTATTGGTTTTATATGGCATTTAGAGCTGTGAAGCACAGCATTTACAAAGAGTCAGTCTGAAGTGAAATATAAGAGGAATTGTGAATGAGAAAGCTTCATTTTGTTATTTTTGTAGTAGTTCGCTCTTGATATACAGTATTATGCTATAGAAGTTACAGTAGTAAGCTTGCAATGTTTCATCTTCTCACAGAGTATTTAAAAAACTAAAGTAATTCACAAATTAAACAAGCAATCACTTTAATTTATTGGAAAGTTTTTTTCATATAGCAGTTCTGTCAACACATGAGACAACTATTTAAAAAAACAGTAAACATGATGTGCATTTCGTTACAGCATCATAGTGTTGAGTACTATAGTCATTGAAAAGACTGAAAATAAAAATCCATATACAGGAACCAGATACTCAGAAGATTCTTGATACTGTTGTAGATTCTTTGCTTAATTTGTTGTTTAAGCCATAACTGCACTGTGTTTTGGACCTTGTGATCACCGACTTTATAGACCGTCTTTCAGAGTTCCATGGAGGAGAAAATCAGACAGTGGAAGATATAGTAGAGGTTGAAAGTCTGTTCCGGTAGTGGATGGGCAGAGGACAAAGAGTGATCTCGCATTTTAATGCTGCAATATAACACCCTGCTTGACTCTCCATTTTCCTCAAAAAGCCAGTGATTGTGGTTCAATGCTTTATGAAGTGTTGAAGGATCACATATCCCCTATGCCATCTCAGCGAAATGACAGATTTGATAGGGAACCTCTATCATAGGTCTCTGAATACAGCCATCCAAGAGTCAAATTAACACAACCCTAAAATCATATTTTTTTGCCAATGTGTTGCACTAGTGGGAGTGGATGCCAACATCTTCGCTACACTAGCACCACCGTTTCACAATCCAGATGGCAGAAGCAGAACTATTCTGGTGTGTCTGGTTAGTGACTTCCTTCATAATGATGTTGAGGTGACTTGGCTCTCCAGCGGATCCAAAGGATCTTCAGACTACATAACCTATAATGTTGCAAAGGAAGAAGATGGGACGCACAGTGCTATTTCACTCATTGAAGTTGCCTCAAATGAATGGGATTCTTACACCTGCTTTGTGAATTACAAGAGCACAGCAATGCTTATCAGCAAACACTATGCTGACTTGACTGGTAAGATTTTAAATCATTGTTTACTGTCTACCTAAAGACCAGAAACTGACTGCTTTTAATGTTCCTGCCTTTTGCATTGAAAGAAATGCATTCAGAGGAAATGTGTTATACAACTTTTGCTAAAATTAAACTCATGAATAGAAAAAAATAGTATCTGAACACTGTTTAAAGCATATATATGAATTTCTACTAAAATTAAAATTGCAAAACAATCTGTATGTGACCGAAGCAGTGATTCAAATAAGATGCTTCCTTCAAATTTCAACCATAATTAAAAATGTTTACTCTTAGGCTACATTTTATAAGATAAAATATGTGACTTTACCTGATTTTTGCTCAGCACTGTTAAGGAGAACAGTGAAACATTGAAAAAAGGGGTTAATACTGAATGGTCAGCACTGCTTGAAAATCAAAATAATTGTGTTGGGACTGTGCAGTAGAATACATTATGGAAAGATTTGCAAAATTACAATATTTCTACTTTTTCAATTCAGAAAATGACTTGGACAACACATGTTATGCAGATTTATGGAATGTCACTCAAGGTAATCTTGCAGTATTCTAACATTATCTTCTATCTGTATGCAAAAAGTATAATAAACAAGCACTATTGAATAAAAAGGTGAAAGCATTTTAGTGAAGCTTCTTTCATGTCAATTTGGTTAGGTGACAGTAATATTTGAATAGATGTACTTATATGGACATGTATCATAAAATGAAAACAGAGTATCTATATTTTGTGGAATTTAAATTGTTTGTTTTGTTGAGGTGGTGTTTTGTTTCATAAAACACTGTTTTCTTAAACAGTACTTAAGGTATGTTCACCACACATGTCACATGGGACTGAGAAATTTTGTAATAATGTCCTTACAGTAAATCTTGATTAAATTAAATAGTTAACATCCATTTTAAATGGATGTATTATTAACATTATAGTCAATGTATTTTAATCTTAAACAGTACTTCATGATTAAATTTGCAAATGTGAAACAAAAAAGGTGAATGACAGAATAGCATATATCTTTATTTTACAATAAATAGACAAAAGTTTGTAACATGAAAAACAATCTTCGCAGGTATTCAGAATCATTCGGAATCTGTATTTATCTTGGCTCTGAGAATTCTTCTTTGGAAGAGCATTATCTTCAACTTTATGATGACTGTGATACTGATTATGGAATGGTAAGATGTTCACAGAGAATTTTACTAAGATTCTATACTAGTGCAGGATAAACTCAATAAGTAAGTTATGTATTAATCAAAAATCTTATTTTAACAAATTATTTAATATGAAAAACATTTAAATCATGAACATCTTCTGTGGCACCAAATGGTACCAAATAACTATTGAAATGGTGAATTGAATTATGTAAAAATTGCTTGTTTTTTTTTAGATGGCTTAACTGGTCTAATATAAACGAGGGACCTGAAAATGTCTACACAATCTACGCTGGAGTTCTCCACTTCTTGAGGTGCTACAGTTCCCAGTGAAGACATGAAGTATCTGACAACGAGGAGTTCTGTGGTTTACCAGACTGCATCAGTATTGATGAAATGATGCTAAGCGAGAGAACTTATTTTCAATGTCATTTAAATAGATCTTTTATTGGGACAATTGAAGAAGTATGTACTGAAGATGTAAAAGGAGCATACTGTAGTCACGATATCAGTGTGCACATTTATATTCACCCAGTTGTTACAAGAGTATAATGAAACGTCTGTATTATACCTACTAGTGTGCACCAGACATACAGTATAGGAGATTCTGATTTTGGCTGATGAGGAGAGGATGTGTCTTTTCATAAGATTTTATGTAAGCTGTGTAACAGACCAGCATGAAAGCAGTGTTTTCTTATGACCTTGACATTTTAGATATCCAAGCAAATAAGCAAATTACTTCATCCAGTAGAGCCTCATGATGCATGGCAAAATTTAACAGGTAGACAAAGGACACAGGGCAACAAAACGGCATAACCTGGGCCCTTCAAATGTGTAATATCAGGTTTTCTCCTGTTTCACAATGAAAGGCATAAGGGAAATAACTCTACCATTGCAAAGCAAACTCACTACCTGTATGGAAGATTTCCCCACCAACCTAGGTCCTCATGCAATTCAATGTGTGTGGCAGAGTCTGAGAACATCCTTGATTCAGCCTTTCTGCAACTTGTTGTGCATGAAACCATCTTCTTAAAATAGCTTTTCATTATCCAATAAATGGTCGATATTTATTTAAAATTTAAAGGAAAGGAAAGGTTCTTTGTATTTAAGATCTATGCAGTTTTTTTACTTTATACCTGATGGCTACATAGAATGTTTTTCAATCACATTAAACCACTTTTGGCAATAAATTAAGACAAAGGGAAGATTTAAATCTTTGTCTCTCTTTTTCTTTATATGCCTATGTTTTTTGTTTATCCCTTGCAATTGTAAGTGGCAATTTGGTTGTGGGGTATTCTAGAGGACCAGGTTTCATACAGATATTCCACAATACCTCCTTACTAAAAATAACTCAATTGTTTTCACTGTAACTTCCTGAAAACTGTAATTTTCCGATTTTTAAACATTTTTTGGTACTTTATAATTAAAAAAATATGACATTTTGATTTTCACTAAATGTAGCAATACTGATTGTTTCAGAAAATAGGTTTGATTAGTGATTAGCTTTTTAAGTTTCTGCAGACAATTTGGTGGTGGATAACTAAATAGGCAACAGCTCGAAAGACGCTGATCAATACAAGTATTTGTAAGTTACATGATAATATATATACTGTGGATGTATGTGCACTGTGGACTGGTTACTCTAGTCATCCATTTTCTAACCTCTTCTTGCAATTCAGGACTGTGGGGGAGCTGGAGCCTATCTTGGCTGGCAACAGCTGCAAAGCAGGGTACACCCTGGACAGGACGCCAATCTGTCTCAGGGTAGACAGACATAAACATAGGCATAGACATGCACACATTCACAACTGGGCCAATGTTACCAGAACCCAGTTATCCTTCCACTATGTTTTTGGACAGTGGGAGGAAACCAGAGAACAAGACGGAATCCCACATGAACTCTGGGAGAACATACTGTACAAAAAAGAGGTAGGTAGGACCCCAGGACTAGAATTATACCCTGGGCCCCAGTACTGTGAGATAGCAATGCTAACCAGTGTGCCATCATGCTACACTGATGGACTAGCTACTGTAATAAGGTACTGTATTTCTAACTATAATCATTAATGAAATATGGCACAGATTACATATTCTGTGGAAAAAGTAACTTGGTTACTTTCCGGTACTTCTTTACAAAGGTCTTCTGCATTGGTTCACACTGTTTCAGTGAGTGCTGAAGAGGTCTGGACTGTCTGATACTCACTCTGACAATACCAAGTATTCTAGTCACTATACATCATAGTCAGAAGAATAATTAGGGCTAGGGTTAGAGTTTAGGACAAAGTTAAATAAGTTATAGATACATTCAGGCTTAATTCTCGGATTAATATTTTGTTTAGGTTTGCAAATAAGGTTACAGAGGGTTTATCCATTAAACAATTCAGACATCAGGCTAGTAGTGGAGTTAAGATTGGGGTTAAAGCTAAGCATAAATTAATAATAGGGTTTAATTTAGTGTCAGGGCTAATTTGTCTGTTATAAATGTTCACAGTTTCACTCTTTTTTACCAAAATAATGACTCACTTGATGATTTGGCAGTTACAGTAGTTACATTAAAATTTTGAAATGCTAACCTAACAAAGTGCATGATCAGACTCAGGGGCACAAAATCAAGTGATATGCAGGTTATATACAGTGTCATTCATGTAATATTCTCATTGGTAGGATCATCATGTATGCCATGCATGTCAGGTTGACATACAGTAGTCAACCATGATGGTAACCTAATTATATTTAAAACTCGGTGAGTAAAAGTAAAAGTCAGTAGATATGAAAAATAAACAAAATCTATATTTCTGCATGAATTACCAGAGAACATGATTACCATCATGATTATGATATCTATTACTTTTAACTATCCATATGAAGTTAAAGTTACGTCTGACTTCAATTATGTATGAAAAACTAAAGTAAGGTACTGTAACACATACGTCTGACATTACATGTTGTGTGAGCCGGCTTACCAGCGTGGTGATGTCAACGCCCTTCCCTGTGAATAGCAGGGACCTCAGCCACCGGGCTGAGGGGAGATTTTCCTTTAACTCAGCTGGCTGGTTCCCTGTTGAGTGATGCTGGATGCCCGGGTTTGAGTCCCCAGAGGTGTGGGGCTGACCTGAGGCAGAAGCGGCGATGGCGCATACCCATGTGTTAGCACTCCATTGGTGTCAGGAGAGGGATGGGACAGCCCTTTGCCAAGGACAGCGAATTAATTTGGGGAGAGTGTAATGCATATGGCCGACATTACAGGTTGTGCGAGCCGGCTTACAAGCGCGGTGACGTCACCGCCCTTCCCTGTGAATAGCAGGGATCTCAACCATTGGACTGAGGTGAGATTGCCCTTTAACTCGGCTGGCTGGGTCCCTGTTGAGTGATGCAAGAGGCCTGAGTTCTAGTCCCCAGCAGTGGGGGGCTGACCTGAGGAGGCAGCGGCGAGGGCACAAACCCACATGAACCTGAGAGCGCTACAGTACGTTTTAAAGAAATGTAATATTATTCCATTCTGCTCATTAAATACAGTAGAAGTCTTTGTAGAAGTCAAACAGTTCTTCAGTGGTTTTCAAGCTAACTTCATACACCTGTTCTGTTACAGTCAAGGCTAGCACATGTGAGACCATTAAAAAGAGCCCACAACCACATCAGCTGTTTGCTGTTTTGCAAGGAAACTGCAAAAACAGTGGCAAGAAACACTTTCTGGGGAAGATTAAAGTACTGCATAGACATTTTACAACATCTTAAAGCAACACGTGTGTTCAAGCTTAGGTAATATTATATAGATTCCCCAAATGAATGCAAAAAGTAAGAATGCTCTATTGACATTGTTCATTTATTCTGAACTCTGTGTGCACTCTTGTGTACATCACTTTTTGTAAATTAGAAGCCTTTAGATTGAAACACTACCAATCAATATGTCCTGCATAAAATATGATGTGTAACATTTTCTTAACTTTTCAACTAATGTATTCTGCACATTTTCAGCACCCGTGTTCTAAAAAAAATGGAAAAGAGCCCTATGTCTGATGTAATTCTGTTACACAATTAGTTTTTAAAAAAAATAAGGACGGTATTAAAATCATTCAATTAAGCATGTAATAAAAGCTTAGCTAGATTTTGCTGTTATCAAAGACTGCCAATATCCAGCCCTGGGCAATATGTCATGCTTTCTCCTGCAGACACGCTGTCGAATGTTCTAACACTACTAAAGCAACCTACAAAAACTGAGCACAGGAAGTCTGTTCCACCTGTGTTTAATGTATTATCATGCCTGTCTCTCGAGGAACAGACTGTATAAGACCTACATTAGCAGTAGATTTGGGCTGTGTTTTAGAGCTATGCTTGAGCTTCATAGTCTCAGTCTCTAGCCTTACATTCAGTTTTTTGTGTACCTGCTAGATTCTCAACCAGTGCAAACTTGCCTTTCGGATTTCCCTGGAACTTCAGTGTCCACTCGGCTACAAAATTTGCTTCTCTCTCAACTATGTTTTGGACTGTTTGCCTGCTTTTTATCACCCCTCCAGTCTATTTCCCTTGTCCTGCTCTTGAGTTCTCCTCACAACCCTGCTGCTTTCATTCAGTTCCAAGCCTCAGAATTACAATATAATAATCTTAAGCCTTTTTTATGGAAATATGCTGTAAAATATTTGTATGAACTTCCAAAACGACAAGCTTTTTAAAAGATGAAAATGATTCCCCCTTCCCTTAACCTGTCAATAGTTAGTCATTGGTCTATCACAGCAAGGTCATATGTCTATTAAAGGTATAAAAATATTGACAAAATTTTAGTTATTATGCTACATGAAAAAAACCCTGATCATACTGCTGTCAGATAATACCTTAGTTTGTCAAAACACACAAGCAGGGCAGATGGAGAGACATGTCAAGAGACAAGTCAAGATGTAAAAAATGAGCCTGAGTAGATTATTGGCTTCATTCGATTTCTTCTCTGACCCTTGTAACACTAGAAACGATGTCAGCAAATGAAATGACCTAAAAAAGGTCAAAATGTGACAGCTTGTGGCCTCATAACGCCTGCCATCTAAAATTTCCATATTAATGAAAAAAAAAATGTTTCTGAACATCAATCTATCTGATATAAAAAAGGAAAAAACGTCAAAGTAATCTCGTAATTCTATCAATTGAAAAAAGAAATAAATACATAAATTTAGCTTTGGAGACTTCTTCGGGTGTGAAAGCTACACACCCAAAACATTGCCCTTTCATTTCTTACTTTATACTTTTTATTTTTCTGCATGGAATTAACCTTCTGCTTCCTACCTTAAAGGTAATATGATTTACATTAGCAAAAGTTTAATCTCAGCTGCATAATATTCCACTACATGGACTTCATTGCATTTGCTGCTGGGTTTGTTCTTCTAATATACCAGTAGTCATTCCCAACGAGCCAAAAATTGAATCACAAGCAGAGACAAAATATGAAAATAACAAACTCAGCAATGAATACAATAAAGACTGTAACAGAAGACAGATTGCAGGTTATGATATATATAAATTAAGTATTTTGCATTCTAGCTCCAATATCTTATCAGGTTAGATAAGGCCTTGTTTTCTGGGGAATTAAGCAAAAGAGCAGAACTGGAAACTACAAATAATGTGTAGATAAACAACAGATATTACATTATTATTTTGTAATTTTAAAATGTATTTTGTATATATAACTGAAATATATACATGTTAATAAAGGAATAGTGAATAATTAATTAAGGTAATAATTAAGGATGTGCGTGTGGTATGACTGTGCTACAAGCAATAAAGCAAACCACCGTAAAAATATGCATAGATTTAGAGATTTTTTATAAAAATGTATGGAATATCATGATTCCCAAAACAGATTCTATAAATAAACATAATGAATGGATGACAAATACTGTAACTAGAAAGTGACAATCTTAAGTATTGCAGGTAGTTTCAACATTTCAGTATAATATTCTTTAATGATTTTGGATTTTTTTTTTCAATTTAATGTTACATTTTAATTAAGTACTCCAGAAATACAATTTGTCTGCCAGTCTGACATCAGATATCTAGAATACATAATGTTGAGAAACAGTTTTACGTCTCATCCGAAGGATGGTGCCTTTTTACAGTATAGTGTCCCCGTCACTATAGTGGGGTATTGGGACCCACATAGTCCACATGGTGAGCACCCCTTGCTGGCCTGACTAACACCTCTTCCAGCAGCAACCTTAGTTTTTACCA